TCTAAACGACTTTGGGGGGTTTGAGGTACTCAACTTGAGTACTTGAGGTACTTGAGGTACTTTTGGGGGCATAAACACATCTGTGGGCTTGGGCGCATGTGTGGGGTGTGTGTATAGGTCTAAGTACAGGTTTGGGTGCAGATGTTTAAGTATTAACAGAGACGGCACACCACTGCTACCCTACCCACACCATCTTCATCCTATCCACACCAACCCCATCCTACCCACACCAACCCCATCCTACCCACACCATCCCCATCCTACCCACACCATCCCCATCCTACCCACACCATCCCCATCCTACCCACACCATCCCCATCCTACCCACACCATCCCCATGCTACCCACACTATCCCCATCCTACCCACACCATCCCCATCCTACCCACACCATCCCCATCCGACCCACACCATCCCCATCCTACCCACACCAACCCCATCCTACCCACACCCAGATTTGCCTGCCGCCAACAACTTACTCTACACAAACATTTCTGTCAAACCTTTATCCAACACGGCGCTTCTAGAGACCTGTGCCCAAACAACTCCCACAGTCCATCTGTTTGCAACCCCTACAGTCCATCTGTTTGCAACCCCCACAGCCCATCTGTTTGCAACCCCTACAGTCCATCTGTTTGCAACCCCCACAGTCCATCTGTTTGCAACCCCCACAGTCCATCTGTTTGCAACCCCCCACAGTCCATCTGTTTGCAACCCCCACAGCCCATCTGTTTGCAACCCCTACAGTCCATCTGTTTGCAACCCCCACAGTCCATCTGTTTGCAACCCCCACAGTCCATCTGTTTGCAACCCCCACAGTCCATCTGTTTGCAACCCCCACAGTCCATCTGTTTGCAACCCCCCACAGTCCATCTGTTTGCAACCCCCACACAGCCCATCTGTTTGCAACCCCCACAGTCCATCTGTTTGCAACCCCCACAGTCCATCTGTTTGCAACCCCCACAGCCCATCTGTTTGCAACCTCCCACAGTCCATCTGTTTGCAACTCCCACAGTCCATCTGTTTGCAACCCCCACAGTCCATCTGTTTGCAACCCCCACAGTCCATCTGTTTGCAACCCCCACAGCCCATCTGTTTGCAACCCCCACAGTCCATCTGTTTGCAACCCCCACAGCCCATCTGTTTGCAACCCCCACAGTCCATCTGTTTGCAACCCCCACAGTCCATCTGTTTGCACCTCCCACAGCCCATTTGTTTGCAACCCCCACAGCCCATCTGTTTGCAACCCCCACAGCCCATCTGTTTGCAACTCCCACAGTCCATCTGTTTGCAACCCCCACAGTCCATCTGTTTGCACCTCCCACAGCCCTTCTGTTTGCAACTCCCACAGTCCATCTGTTTGCAACCTCCACAGTCCATCTGTTTGCAACCCCCACAGTCCATCTGTTTGCAACTCCCACAGTCCATCTGTTTGCAACTCCCACAGCCCATCTGTTTGCAAGAGCTGATGCCACAATGCAAGGAACGTAACAATTGTTCTACTAACGTTCACTAACTCTATTAAAACGTTTACTAACGTTTCTAACGTTGTACGAAACGTTTACCTAAACGTCCCCAACATTGTAAAAAAAAAGATACCCCAACATTCTTACAACCTTCCGAAATGTTGTATAAAAGATACCACAACGTTAGAACAACCTTCCGTAATGTTGTATAAAGAGATACCCCAACATTACAACAACCTTCCGTAATGTTGTATAGAAAGATACCCCAACATTATTACAACCTTCCGTAATGTTGTATAGAAAGATACCCCAACATTACAACAACCTTCCGTAATGTTGTATAGAAAGATACCCCAACATTACAACAACCTTCCGTAATGTTGTATAAAGAGATACCCCAACATTACAACAACCTTCCGTAATGTTGTATAAAGAGATACCCCAACATTACAACAACCTTCCGTAATGTTGTATAAAGAGATACCCCAACATTACAACAACCTTCCGTAATGTTGTATAAAGAGATACCCCAACATTACAACAACATTCCGTAATGTTGTATAGAAAGATACCACAACATTACAACAACCTTCCGTAATGTTGTATAAAGAGATACCCCAACATTACAACAACATTCCGTAATGTTGTATAGAAAGATACCCCAACATTACAACAACCTTCCGTAATGTTGTATAGAAAGATACCACAACATTACAACAACATTCCGTAACTTTCCAAAGACGTAAAGGCAACATTATGTTAAATAATGGAAATACAGAACCCACTCACTGATACTCCGGCCACCGAAGCCTCAGAAATAAATGAATATGTACACGCTAAGATACAAGACTGGGGGGGGGGGGGTGGTGTATAGCTTGTGTATATATGAGCTTGTATGCTTGTAAGGTACCCGAGCGACGTCCCTTCTGGACGCCGACCGCGCCTACACGGTCTGGGGGATCCATTAACCTGTTGGAGGTGTGATCTTGTGGGGGAGTTGAACAAGCCTGTGTTAAGTGAAAAAGTAGATCTTCAAGATGCATGTTATAGTGAGTGAGTGAGTGTGTGTGTGTGTGTGTGTGTGTGTGTGTGTGTGTGTGTGTGTGTGTGTGTGTGTGTGTGTGTGTACTCACCTAGTTACTCACCTAGTTGTGTTTGTGGGGGTTGAGCTCTGGCTCTTTGATCCCGCCTCTCAACCGTCAATCAACAGGTGTACAGATTCCTGAGCCTATCGGGCTCTATCATATCTCTATCACTATCTGTGTGTGTGTGTGTGTGTGTGTGTGTGTGTGTGTGTGTGTGTGTGTGTGTGTGTGTGTTAGTTGTTAGCTGTAAGGTGTTGTAATGATTGCCATAGTTCCCTTGTTACCATCGAATGGTGACTATTAATAACCCTCTAGAGGGTTATTAATACTTAACAACTCTCCCAGAGATTGACAGGGCAAAATCCCAATCCCAAACTCCTTTATAACTAAAAAAAAAAACGAAGCAACTTGATCAAAAAAATAAGTAACAGTGTAAATGCTAGCACGTGTGTTGCTGTTCCAGGGTGTTCCTTGCTTTGTTCCGGAGCTCCCTTAGTGTTGCTGAAGTATCTAGACCACCTATTGTACCCATTATCTCAGTCATGGGTGGAATTGCTTTGTTATGGGAGCCATTATGGTTCTCTGTTCGTATGTATCTGTGGTTATGGGGTTTTCCTGCGTGTGGGAGGGGTGTGGGAGAGATGTGGGAGGGGGGTATGAGATGGGAGGGGTCTGGAAGCCAGCATATATGCATATAAGTACATCATATATCAGGAGAAAATGCTAAGTTATTGTGACTAAATAGCACTTGGGAGGGATATGAGGACAAGGAGCTGGGATATGAGGACATGGAGCTGGGATATGAGGACAAGGAGCTGGGATATAAGGACAAGGAGCTGGGATATGAGGACAAGGAGCTGGGATATGAGGACAAGGAGCTGGGATATGAGGACAAGGAGCTGGGATATGAGGACAAGGAGCTGGGGTATGAGGACAAGGAGCTGGGGTATGAGGACAAGGAGCTGGGGTATGAGGACAAGGAGCTGGGGTATGAGGACAAGGAACTGGGATATGAGAACAAGGAGCTGGGATATGAGGACAAGGAGCTGGGATATGAGGACAAGGAGCTGGGATATGAGGACAAGGAGCTGGGGTATGAGGACAAGGAGCTGGGATATGAGGACAAGGAGCTGGTATATGAGGACAAGGAGCTGGGATATGAGGACAAGGAGCTGGGATATGAGGACAAGGAGCTGGTATATGAGGACAAGGAGCTGGTATATGAGGACAAGGAGCTGGGGTATGAGGACAAGGAGCTGGGGTATGAGGACAAGGAGCTGGTATATGAGGACAAGGAGCTGGTATATGAGGACAAGGAGCTGGGAGGACAAGGAGCTGGGATATGAGAACAAGGAGCTGGGATATGAGGACAAGGAGCTGGGATATGAGGACAAGGAGCTGGGATATGAGGACAAGGAGCTGGGGTATGAGGACAAGGAGCTGGTATATGAGGACAAGGAGCTGGTATATGAGGACAAGGAGCTGGGATATGAGGACAAGGAGCTGGGATATGAGAACAAGGAGCTGGGATATGAGGACAAGGAGCTGGGATATGAGGACAAGGAGCTGGGATATGAGGACAAGGAGCTGGGATATGAGGACAAGGAGCTGGGATATGAGAAAAGGAGCTGGGATATAAGGACAAAGTGCAGGAAAGGAGCGCACCCACTCACACCATCGGGGATCGAACTCCGACCTCGCTTGAAACAAGGCCGACTCTCAATTAATCAGACCTCTGGCCAACTCTAGATGTACACTCAGGTAAGTTTACATTTATGTAAACTCCTGAGAGCGCAATCGTATCGTCTTTTACGTCTAAATGCGTCTAAATATATTGTAAACCAGTTAGGCTTACCGAGGACTCCCATAGGTCAACATCTCCCCCCCCCAACAAAACGCCACCCACAACAGTTGCCAATATCCAAGACACCTATTGACTCCTAAGTGAACAAAAGGCATTAGGTGAAAGATAACTTTACCCAAACGTCGTGGGAATCGAACCCGGGGGACCATTTTAAGATTTACGAACCAGCTACGCAGACCACTGCGCTACGATGAATCCGGAATTAATCCATCAACCCCTCCCCCCCTCTCTTAATCCCCGGATTAAACCGGAGATTTACTAGAAATATTGGATAATGAGGAAACGTGTTATACCTAAAGGCCAATATTTCGTTGGTTTAATATGTACAAAAAGTAAATATAGATGGGAATAGTGGAAATAGGGGGTAAATGGGGGGGAGGGGGGAGTGCCAGAGCCACTTTCTCCCACATGTGACGCAGTTGTGGCCCCAGCTGGCGCTGTGGGAGGGGGGGGGGGAGCGTGGGAGGGAGGGAGAGAATGACGGAGGGAGAGAGAAAGGGAGGGAGGAAGCGTAGGGAGATGAGATAGGAAGGAACTAGAGGTGGAAGGACCTCCAAACCTCCAAGACGGCCTTCCAAACCTCCAGGACGGCCTTCCAAACCTCCAAGACGGTCCTCCAAACCTCCAAAACTGCCCTCCAAACCTCCAAGACGACCCTCCAAACCTCCAAGACGGCCCTCCAAACCTCCAAAACGGCCCTCCAAACTTCCAAGACGGCCCTCCAAACCTCCAAGACGGCCCTCCAAACCTCCAAAACTGCCCTCCAAACCTCCAAGACGACCCTCCAAACCTCCAAGACGGCCCTCCAAACCTCCAAAACTGCCCTCCAAACCTCCAAGACGGCCCTCCAAACCTCCAAGACGGCCCTCCAAACCTCCAAAACGGCCCTCCAAACTTCCAAGACGGCCCTCCAAACCTCCAAGACGACCCTCCAAACCTCCAAGACTGCTCTCCAAATCTTCAAGACTGCCTCCAAACCTCCAGAACGGCCCTCCAAACCTCAAAGACGGCCCTCCAAACCTCCAGAACGGCCCTCCAAACCTCCAAGACGGCTCTCCAAATCTCAAAAACGGCCCTCCAAACCTCCAAGACGGCCCTCCAAACCTCCAAGACTACCTCCAAACTCCCAAGACGGTCCTCCAAACCTCCAAGACTACCTCCAAACCTCCAAGACGACCCTCCAAACCTCCAAGACGACCCTCCAAACCTCCAAAACGACCCTCCAAACCTCCAAGACTACCTCCAAACCTCCAAGACTACCTCCAAACCTCCAAGACGGCCCTCCAAACCTGCAAGACAGTCCTCTAAACCTCCAAGACGGCCCTCCAAACCTCCAAGACTACCTCCAAACCTCCAAGACGGCCCTCCAAACCTGCAAGACAGTCCTCAAAACCTCCAAGACGGCCCTCCAAACCTTCAAGACTACCTCCAAACCTCTCAATTGAGCTTAGACAAATACTCAAGATTATATACAATTAAAGTTTCCCCTTCAGAGAGCAATCAACGCTCAACTTAACCTGTGCAATGGTCTTGCATGAGGTCCTGTGCAATGGTCTTGCATGAGGTCCTGTGCAATGGTCTTGCATGAGGTCCTGTGCAATGGTCTTGCATGAGGTCCTGTGCAATGGTCTTGCATGAGGTCCTGTGCAATGGTCTTGCATGAGGTCCTGTGCAATGGTCTTGCATGAGGTCCTGTGCAATGGTCTTGCATGAGGTCCTGTGCAATGGTCTTGCATGAGGTCCTGTGCAATGGTCTTGCATGAGGTCCTGTGCAATGGTCTTGCATGAGGTCCTGTGCAATGGTCTTGCATGAGGTCCTGTGCAATGGTCTTGCATGAGGTCCTGTGCAATGGTCTTGCATGAGGTCCTGTGCAATGGTCTTGCATGAGGTCCTGTGCAATGGTCTTGCATGAGGTCCTGTGCAATGGTCTTGCATGAGGTCCTGTGCAATGGTCTTGCATGAGGTCCTGTGCAATGGTCTTGCATGAGGTCCTGTGCAATGGTCTTGCATGAGGTCCTGTGCAACACGTTGTTGTTGTTGTTTAAGATATTAATATTTAAGGTATTAATAAATACCCTATTTATTAATAGGGTATTAAAAATATCAACACAAGACAGAACACGAAACAATGGGTATAAATTGGATAAGTTTAGATTTAGGAAAGACTTGGGTAAATACTGGTTCAGTAACAGGGTTGTTGATTTGTGGAACCAATTGCCACGTAACGTGGTGGGGAGGGGGGGGGGGTTCCCTCGATTGTTTCAAGCGCAGGTTGGACATGTATATGAGTGGGATTGGGTGGTTATAGATAGGAGCTGCCTCGTATGGGTCAATAGGCCTTCTGCAGTTGCCTTTGTTCTTATGTTCTTATATTCGCCACCTGGAACAGAGCTCCAAGCAGCACGGGCTATGGCGAGCCCGTTGCTGATCAACAGTTTACATTGAACGACCACTCGAGGCTCTCTTTCTTCAATCGTGCAATTGCAAGCTCCAATATTCGCAATATTTTTTTTTTTTTTACTTTTTCCCTGCAAAAGATATAGTGAATGGTGATTATTAACACCAAGATCATGCGCTGATAGCTCTTATCGCACCCTGTCGCAAGGGTCATTTTCGCTCCGGTGGGAATTATAATTTTTTTTGTCCTGTTTTTGGTTGATAAGGTTCACTGTTGGCGCTTTAATTGAGCGAAATGGGTCTTAATGGTAGCTAATGTTACGTTATCGAGAGAGGTGAAGATAATGCTTTGATAAGAGGGAGATAAGATCTGTTAAGAGACGGTAGGGGGAGGTGAGGTACCTACCTCACCTTCACCTCACCATGGTGAGAGCAAGTGAGGTACCTACCAGACACAGTGAGAGAAAGTGAGGTACCTACCAGACACAGTGAGAGAAAGTGAGGTACCTACCAGACACAGTGAGAGAAAGTGAGGTATCTACCAGACACAGTGAGAGAAAGTGAGGTACCTACCAGACACAGTGAGAGAAAGTGAGGTACCTACCAGACACAGTGAGAGAAAGTGAGGTACTGGCCAGGCACAGTGAGAGAAAGTGAGGTATCTACCAGACACAGTGAGAGAAAGTGAGGTATCTACCAGACACAGTGAGAGAAAGTGAGGTACCTACCAGGCACAGTGAGAGAAAGTGAGGAACCTACCAGACACAGTGAGAGAAAGTGAGGTATCTACCAGACACAGTGAGAGAAAGTGAGGTATCTACCAGACACAGTGAGAGAAAGTGAGGTATCTACCAGACACAGTGAGAGAAAGTGAGGTATCTACCAGACACAGTGAGAGAAAGTGAGGTACCTACCAGGCACAGTGAGAGAAAGTGAGGAACCTACCAGACACAGTGAGAGAAAGTGAGGAACCTACCAGACACAGTGAGAGAAAGTGAGGTATCTACCAGACACAGTGAGAGAAAGTGAGGTATCTACCAGACACAGTGAGAGAAAGTGAGGTATCTACCAGACACAGTGAGAGAAAGTGAGGTATCTACCAGACACAGTGAGAGAAAGTGAGGTATCTACCAGACACAGTGAGAGAAAGTGATTCACTATCAGTTCCTTCAAATTAAAATGACTTGAATTTGCCAAAAAATATTTTTCAATATACTTTTTAAAAGTCAAATAAATAATCAAAAAGTTCAGTTTCTCAATATGTAAATAGTCTGGGGGATTACTGTATACACTCCTCCAGTGAACGGTGATCAAGCAGCCTGTTCCTGTTGGCACTCTCTAAATACACAGTCCCATGTATAGTTTCAGTATTTCCCACTTATTGGCTAACTGGTGCATGCCAGGTGTGTGTGCAGTGTTGTGATATCTGCAGGTGTGTAGAGTTTAATAGAGGAGATTATGAGGTATGAGGCAATACCTCATACCTTTATAAACACCGTATTAAACCCTCCTCATTCTCTCAAACCAGTAAAGTATAAGAAGTAAAGTCTTATAGGTAAAGTCTTATAAAGTCTTATAGGTATTATATATAGTCTTAAAGTCTTATAGTCTTATGGGTAAAGCATGGCCACTAAAGCCTTGTTAAAGCACAATAACTCCTGCAAACACACAGCCTAACTGTCCCCTATTTTCCGGTTGTTACAACTTGTAATAAAGTGGTTACATCTTGCTATAACGTTTTTACGACGTAGCAGAAAACGTTGCTACAACTTGTCAGCTGTTTAAACACTTGTTCGAATGTTGTGGCAACGTTGTAGTTAGGTTGTGAATCACCTCCCTGTAGTAACGTGTTCGATAGCTTTCTGTATCTGTATTCTAAAGATCTCTAACCCTGTCTGTGAAGAGTTAGAGTAGTACAGGTATACAATGCCTGTCGTTAGGGACAGGAAGCCTGTCTACTTGGGCTTATACAGGTCCCCCCCCCCCCTACTCCCACCCCCAAAACCGGATGCAGCCCACAACAGTTGCCTAACTCACAGGTACCTATTAAACTATCAGGTGAAGAGAAGCATGAGATGAAAGGAAAATTGACCAATTAGTCTCTCCTTCGATAGCAAACCGAGAATGTAGTCCACTGCGCTTCAGAGCAGCATTGTATAAATGTATAATCTACATATGCAACATGTATACATTTTTAACTTACATGTACAGTTAAAAAGATACATTACAAACAATGCCTTAAGTAAACCAAACTGTTAAAGATAAACTATTCGTAACTGCCCAACCGCTTTAGAAGTGACACTTAGACTCGAGTTTACGAAAAAAAAGCCCGACCCGGTGGGAGGAGCCGAGCGGACAGCACGCTGGACTTGTGATCCTGTGGTCCTGGGTTCGATCCCAGGCGCCGGCGAGAAACAATGGGCAGAGTTTCTTTCACCCTATGCCCCTGTTACCTAGCAGTAAAATAGGTACCTGGGTGTTAGTCAGCTGTCACGGGCTGCTTCCTGGGGGAGTGGAGGCCTGGTCGAGGACCGGGCCGCGGGGATACTAAAGCCCCGAAATCATCTCAAGATAACCCCCGTTCTTAATAGAACGTCGTAATTTTGACGTATACGCTACCTAAGGCCTCAAAAAATTGTCTCTTACTAAAAAATGGTAGAAAGTGACATACTGGTGCCCCGTTTTCTGTTTTGGGTTCTCTGGTAAGGATAGAATAAGGGGGCCCTTTAGTACGACTGTTTCTTGACGTTTGGGGGAATAACCTGAGGAGGACGGGCTGCGAGAATATAGTCCAGGGCCAGATTCACGAAGCAGTTACGCAAGCACTTACGAACCTGGGGCCACATTTACGAAGCAGTTACTCAAGCACTTACGAACCTCGGGCCAGATTCACGAAGTAGTTACGCAAGCACTTACGAACCTGGGGCCACATTTACGAAGCAGTTACTCAAGCACTTACGAACCTCGGGCCAGATTCACGAAGTAGTTACGCAAGCACTTACGAACCTGGGGCCAGATTCACGAAGTAGTTACGCAAGCACTTACGAACCTGGGGCCAGATTCACGAAGCAGTTACGCAAGCACTTACGAACCTGGGGCCAGATTCACGAAGTAGTTACGCAAGCACTTACGAACCTGGGGCCACATTCACGAAGCAGTTACGCAAGCACTTATGAACCTGGGGCCAGATTCACGAAGCAGTTACGCAAGCACTTACGAACCTGGGGCCACATTTACGAAGCAGTTACTCAAGCACTTACGAACCTCGGGCCAGATTCACGAAGTAGTTACGCAAGCACTTACGAACCTGGGGCCACATTTACGAAGCAGTTACTCAAGCACTTACGAACCTCGGGCCAGATTCACGAAGTAGTTACGCAAGCACTTACGAACCTGGGGCCAGATTCACGAAGTAGTTACGCAAGCACTTACGAACCTGGGGCCAGATTCACGAAGCAGTTACGCAAGCACTTACGAACCTGGGGCCAGATTCACGAAGTAGTTACGCAAGCACTTACGAACCTGGGGCCACATTCACGAAGCAGTTACGCAAGCACTTATGAACCTGGGGCCAGATTCACGAAGCAGTTACGCAAGCACTTACGAACCTGTCCATCTTTTCTCAATCTCTGGCGGCTTAGATTACAATTATTAAACAGTTAATGAGCTGGGAAGCACCAGGAGGCTGTTTATAACAATAACAACAGTTGATTGGCAAGTTTTCATGCTTGTAAACTGTTTAATAAATGTAACCAAAGCCGTCAAAGATTGAGGAAAGATGTACACGTTCGTAAGTGCTTGCGTAACTGCTCCGTGAATCTGGCCCCAGGTTCGTAAGTGCTTGCGTAACTGCTTCGTGATTCTGGCCCGAGGTTCGTAAGTGCTTGCGTAACTGCTTCGTGAATCTGGC